GAAGGGACGTCAAGAGGTGAAAGCTCGTGAAGTGAAAGCCACGGCAGAGGATTGATGCAGTGGATCGGAACGAGTGGCGACGTCTAACAAGAACAGCGGATCCTGCGACGGCGCGGGACTAACGCTAGGGAGAAGAAGAAGAAGACTTGACAACTTGGTCAAAATGTCCTACAGCAAATAAATCAAAACGTGAAACCTGATAAAGCACAAGAAAATATAAACACCGGTGAAATCAGTCGTGATCAGAGCTCTTGTTCATCTTCAAGCGCAGGTAGAGCGACTTTGATGAAAAACGACGTGGCGCCGAACTGGCGCCATATACATCTTTTATTCGTATATACCTCACGTAAATGATAGACGAGACTTCCGCTAGAAATTATCGAGGTTTCAGAGCCCAAATCGAACAGCGAAGTAAAGTCTAATGAACCTCTCATTCCGGAAGCCAACAAAGCCTGATTAGTGAAGTGTTGATAAAGCAATAGCGATGAAAATGAACTGTGATAGTCATTTAATAGGACCAGGGCAACAGAAAAGTAAATATCAAACGTGGCTCGTTCAGAAGATATCAAACCAATTGTGGTATGTGACTAATACAAAGGAAAACAAAGCAGTAGAAAAAGAAACATTAACTTCCTTGTCATTCGAAAGTTCAACTGATCACAGTCCTGTTCGGCTTTCACAGCTGTACATACAGTTCATTTATGAAATCGTTTTTCATGGGCCCGTTCATTTCGGTATCCGAAAATTCACGCGGTCTGTTTACGTGATAACTAGGACCTTTCGTGGTGGTTCTGGTACCGAAGGTCAGAGTCGCAAGAAACTGATGTTTGCGGGTACTAAGGCGTCAAAAGGTGCAAAGCACACAAGGACGTAAGCTTCCCCAGGGGAAGAAGGCTCTAGGGTGCATAAGCTCTTCTCAGGATGACATGCGTAAAATTTGGATGAGTGAGGTTACTGTGGCCAAAGAATACCATGTATATGTGAGGGCGCGCCATAAAAGAAAACAGAACGTGACGCGATTAAAAACATATGGCACGATAATTTGGTGCTCGGACTGAAATGGCAGCAGGGTGCTATTTAGTGGAAAATGGCGGAAAAGCGAAGTGAAACGGTCAATAACCTGCAGAAGTCAAAAGCCTTAAAGGCAAAGCCCGCGACCACAGATTGTGGGTAACGGAACCCACATAGGAACGAAAAAGGGCTAGGTATCTGATTAGCGGAGAAAAGCAGCAGAAAAACAGCCGAAAATGCCCTAAATAGGATTCCATATCGACCCCAACTTGTACATGCATGCAATGAAGAAAACGCATGTTTGTACGAATTTCCACTCGTCGTTATCATAAAGATATCAGCTCTTTTATCTTATCACCTCACTCTCACCATTCGGAATGGAAGAGAGATAGTATAGTGGCTACTAGCTAGTTAGCTAGCAGCCCGCGCTGGGAAGGAGTCCCAAGGGGGCGAGGGACACCACGGAGGGCAGGAGGAGCGAGGGAGGCAGAGCGCAGGAGGAAAACGGGGCAGGGCCGCCAAACCACGGTCGGGCCACTAAAAAAACAAAACGGGCGCACACCCAGCGCCCGCGCCGGAGTGGGGGGCCGCGCCGAGAATCAGAGCCACAAACACAGACGAGCCGCGAGAACTGCAGTAGGACCCTCTGCACCCACCACCTCGAGCATAGTGCGCAACAAGCCGAGAAATCGTGGGGAAAGAACGGACAATACAGGGAGGTGCACGGAACTGGTCGGCATGGGCCCAAGGGGCGCCAATTGGGCTAACGTGCGGGTGAGCTTGAAGCGATTCTTGCGATTTTCACTTCCTAAAAGTAGCAGCCTCACGCAGCTTCCTTCCGAATCAGTCTGACCATTTGAAAGGTCATAGCCTTATTTCATCGCGGAAAGTGCCTTTAAGTCATCAACCTTGTTGATGATTCAAGGAGCAATTTTGGACGAGTTTCCCGTGGGCGTCTTGCTAATAACCGCGCGGTGAATACGGCTGTATGTACAGTCGTCATCCTTGCACTTGATACGTCAATGTCAGTGCGGGCTGCGCGGTCGCCCCATCGCGCTACTGCACCAATCGTTGAACCGACGGACCAGATGACATTACTGTATGATATATCCTTCGTGTTTGATCGTTTTCTATCACTTTTTGTCGCATACGCGTTTCAACGAAAAGGCTGAGAAGGCCTCAAAACAGTGTGCACGCTCCTTCTCGCCGACACGCCCCTATCAAGTGCAAGGATGACGACTGTATGTACTCATATTTCCATGCAGCACCACGGCCGATTCATTCAACCCCACTCGGCCTTCACATTTTACTTCTAGCGTGCACACAATGACAGCATACGAGCATGAGGTACGGTTGCTCCATTCTGGCAGGCGAGGCGCAGTTGGCGTCCGGGGCTGTATGTGCAAGCTTGATAGGGGTGCGTTGTGCTGGTGTGGCGACCGACGCTGGTATGAAACAAAGGGATGGCTAGCGCAACGCGGCGCTCAGTGACGTTCCGAATCCGTCATATACGCATTGATGCTATTCGTCTGGATTTATCGTGCGAACTGCTTTTATAGGAACGCTCGAGATGTGAAGACCATCAAAGCGGTAGCAGTTCGACCAGTTCAACCCGAACACATTGAAATACGTCTATAATACGAACGTCCGAAATATGCAATTCTGATCTGCGTCTGCCCGATACGAATATCTTACATAGAGGAATTGGGAACATCAAAGAACGACATAAGAAACAACAAATCTGGTCTTTGATGAGATTATAGTATCCTGAAATAAGCCAAGCACACAAACTAGGAAAGTTGGAGGACGTACCAAAAAGGATTCCAGGTTAGGTGAACTACTTCTCACGCGACGCAGGAGCCATTTTCCAAAAAAGCATTCGCTTCACTCATGCCAGTGCCCTTTCCTTCCTAAAATTAGGCAAATCGTCATCCCTGATGCCTAATCGATTTTTCGATTATGATAACTGAGCAATAATTCTAATTATGAAATGTGGAGATAATAACAGTTATTAATATTTGAATTATTTATTATAATAACAATATAAAAAAGACATTTTGCCATCCAGTTCACGTATAAAAGCCCAGCCAAACTCCATGAGGCACCCCATCCGGGAGTTTCACGTAATGATCGCGGTAAGTGTGGATCTGGACAACTTCAGCTCGCTTTATATCATCTGACAAACTTTCCAGCTCTGTTTCCTGTTGCTGAGCCTTTTCGGCCTATCTAATGGATATTATGAGAATCCAGACACACGTGGGTCTTTCTTTTTATTGGCAATAATCGTCTGAAGAGGGTGAAACTGTCACCCTTCAGCCACTAATAGCTTCTCACTCTACTCTGTTTTATCAGCCTGAGAAAGGCTATTCAAAGAGGACAAGTAGAGAAACCAACATCATTTAGTTTTGAATCGACAGGAGACAAGCAGCGGGATGGGTGAAATAACGTTAACAGTACGACTACCTACAGGGTACAGCATCGTGATGTGTGAGGTGGTGGTGTAGGTACGACCCCCCTCCGAGAGAGGGTGTCAGTACGACCCCCACCTAAATGAGGGTCTCGGTACGACCCCCTCCCCTTCCCCAACACCTACCTACAAATTTCCCCCATTTTCCAGTTTTTTCACCAAAAAATTTTCCGTTAAGCGGGGAGCGGGAGATATGTGGTGTACACGAAACAGGAAAAATCAATCAAAGTCAGCAACCGGAAAACCAACGAGAAGAATTTCGCTCGAAGACATATACCACTCCTCCCTCTGCCAGCGACCATATACGACCCCCCCCCCTCCCCAGAGAACAAGTACGACCCCCCCCCTATGTGTTTCGCTCAACGATGCTGTACACTGACTACCTATACTGTAGTTCGCTGCGGACGGTTGGGCGTGTCAGTGCGGCTGCGTTTGGCGCGGTGCCAAACTCGTTCTCCACCAGTTGTTGAAGCGGGCAAGTGACAATACTGTATCATATGCTTCGTATTACTCGTTTTCTACCACTTTTTGTCGCATGCGCTCTTCAACAAGAAGGCAGAGAACGGCTCTGATAGGGTGAACACTCATACTGGCTGACACGCCCAACCGTTTGCAGAGAACTAGAGTGTAGCACCTCACCAACTTTGTATTCCTTACCGTATTTCCTTTTCTTGATTTTTTTATTTTCCAATCCTTTTTCTCCAAAAATTGCAATCGAGCGAGGTAGGGAGCGGGGGAAAGGGGGGGGGTGTTCAGCGCTCGAGGAACAGGAAACTTCAACCATCTGAATTCTCCCACTATGCCGTACCGTTTCCATACTTCGCGATTTCAGCATGAGACTCCCGCTTTTCGATGACATTGCAGCACACGATGCGCAGACTTGTCATCACAGATGCGGCCCGCACGAGTCCAGTCGCTATGGTTCCTCTTTGAAAGGAGGGAACCTAGTGATCCTTTGCTCAACGCTTTAACCCCTCTTAACGCTCATTGCCTCTATGGCGCTAGTCGCATTGCATCCTTACACCTTTTCTTCCCTACAAAAGAGAGCAGCAATGCCGCACGACTATCGATCATACTTTTCTTAGCACTATATTCGGAGAGAAGTTGCTCCGTT